ATAATGTGGCCGTTATAGTTCCAACGCTCACAAAAGACCGCCTCGTTTTCGAAATACCATATTTCTAGTTTTTTTTTAAAGTATTAACATGTAATTCCTAATAAGTATATAATCTGTCTAAATCGTTTTGTATTTCAGAAGGTGTTTTGCCTATAATGACCATAAAATCAGCAAAAAAAAAGTAACATTTTCACAATATCATCTATATCTTAGCCACATTCAATACCGTTCTGTTATTATTGTTCAAGGTCTTCCACAAACAATGCAAATAACAAATGGGACATTACTTCCCTTTGCCTTAGGTCAACAGAGTAAGAAAAATACTCAGAGAATGAAGAAAAAGACTTAACACACAATTTAACATCACTATACATATCTCTAACACTTCGTAATAATTTACCCTGAATTCCAGATTTAAACATTTTTAACAACATGCCATTACGATATATTGAGTCAAAATATTTCATCATGTCAACAAAAATAACATAAAGGCGTTTATTTTAAAACAAATATTTCTGAACTAAAGACTGCAAAATAAAAATTAGCAAATGTCACGTAACAAATGTCAGTTGCTTCCACTTTTTCCTCGAGTCTATTGACCTTGTCCTCAGTCCTCCTGGCCCTATATTCCAAAGCAACCCATACCTTCTTAAGATCCTTATTGAAGTCTAACACTTTTTCCCAAGCGTCTCTAGGACACCCCAACCTACGCTTAAGTATGCCCATTCTTGCAGTAATACCAAAAGCAAACTTTTTCAAATTTGTTATTACAAAACTCACTAAGCTTTTCAATTATAGGTCTGCAAATTATGTCCCCGCCCGATTTGATGTTGAGGATCATCACAAAACTGTCGATTTGTATCATAAATTGATAATAGACAGTCTCCTCCAGTCGACGGCCTGGAACTACTACTCATTTCCACTTTACGGTCTTTGGAATCTATATAATATATGTATATATAATGTTTTTTTACAAATGTTCCCTCAACAGATTGTATAGTGTTTTTTAAATTCTATTAGTTGATTTAATTAGTCTTTTCAGTTCATATCAATCATGTTTAACCAAAATACCCATCGTCATGAAATCTTTACAGTTCTTATAATTTACGTCATCGTCGGATACCCACGATTGATAAACATGTCACATAACATGCAATCAACCGTGGGTAAAATGAATCGATTTGCGTCGATATACGGCAACAGGTGCGTAAAATATCTACCAATGACATCGCGTTTAACAAATCTATATTCTTCAACAGCGGAGGTAAAAAACCATAAGAAACAAAATGGCAGCGCCCACGGTTAAAAACTGTTGAACGTGTCTTGCTCAAATCAATGGCAAAATCTATCGCAAAATCAGTTGTTTTGCAAGCAGATATCAATCAGAAAGGAAAACTTCACGCTGTTACAGTAAATTATGTATACTTTCTTGCTGGAAATCGTTTAATTTTTCGATGTTCAACTTTTCACAATCTGAATTTAACGTGTCGTCTATGGTTGTCGCCATAAATGTAATACCGAACGTCGTACAGAACGAGCGTTTTGATTGGTTTTTAATCGCCTAATGAAATCGTGAGGCAGCCAATGCCTTTGACACACCTTTAATCGACTGAATATCGGCAAAAAATCCCACGGCTGATAAATGTTAATGGTTCGGCCGTGGGTATCCGACGTATAATCAAGATACTAACCTACTACTAGACGGTTTGCTCCATTGACGGTATTAATAATTCATCTATATTTTATTCAATAAAGTCCCTTTCAACATTTAAGAAATTGATACAAATATATAATTATCATTTAGTCTTTTCAATTTATATCAATTATGTTTACCATGAGACGGTCTCCACCAATCGACAGCCTTCGGTGGTCTTTGAAGACCAGGGACCGTCGAAGACCGGATACCGTCAATTAGTATCCCCGGTATTCATATTATATATTATTCGTTTTTGCACTGGACCAACTAGTTAAGGATAATGCAAAAAAAACATCATCATTGTAAATGTATTCATACAGAAAACATAAGTTTTAGCGTCAGTTTGTAATACTTACCTGAGTAAAAAAGAACAATTAAAAATACCTTGTTCCATAGGACGCATTTTTATCTCTACTTCGCGGTTGTGTCACCTGCATGTTACGAACACTTGTTTTCTGTTTATGTCTATACAGTGCATGTACAGTTTACATATTTAACTCATTCGCAAGCTCGTCACTGAAATGTTATTTTTTAAACGACGTTAAATAGTGAAAAACAGAATCCCTAAAGACAGCCCAACACGACAAAATTATAAAATGTTGCAGGCTCGGTTTGATTGAGCCTGTTCATGGACGGTACTAAAGTCATTTAAATGCTCTTGGCGTCTTCTTAATAACTGTCAATGAGTTCTCGAGACTCCTGGAATATTTATTTTCATACCACATCATAAACAAAATCCTGTCTTTAAAGACAATAATAAAATAACCTCTATGTACTACTGACCAATTAATTTTCTTTTTACATCTTTTAAATGTCAACATAATATTGTTTTCATCTGAAATCTTTCGATTTCTTTTTAAAGTTTTACACAACCTATTTTATTTTCCGTGTATGTATATTTAACTCTTAAACTATTTTCCATAACTTTTGATTATAAAATGTTACTTTTTATAAATCTATTATTTTATTATTTACCTTTTCAGTATACAAAAAATAAATATAAACCAAAAAGAAACAAAAAAGAAGAAACACGAAATCTATTGACGAAAATAAAACTTTTTTCCCATATTTAATCATGTAAAACACTATACCGCCATATCGCACTTTCGTATTGTCGCCATCTATTCCGTAAGGTAAGATATACAAGATTCTGTGTCCACGCGTTTTATGTATAGCCAAAGTGATTTAAGACTGCTGATGTATAGCGGAAAATGAAATTAGCCGTGAAATATTTATACGGAGCAGAGTTGGAGTATTTATTCGCTGTTTATCTGTGTTGTTTTGGGTCTCGGGCCACTGTAGATTTTGAGTTTCAACGGAATGAATTGCAACTTTTTTGACTGCCTGTCTATTGCAGATGGGATGATTTCTTTATAGATTTGCAACTTTATGTCATTATGTTCTTAACAAAATGTGTTATCTTTTTCCAGGTTGTGTAGTTTGGTATCAGAATTATTACACGTATTGCTTGTAGGACATTGACGACATGAACTTGAAATTAACTGTGGAGTGCTACCCTGGATTACGTGGATTTTTTTGAAGAGAATATTTCAACGGCTACACCGTCAGTAATTACCGACTTGTACGGAAATATTGGTTCCAGGCCAGATGTAAAAATTTAAATTTCAAATGTAATTTCGTATTCGTGTTATTGCAGTTCATATTCGTCTTGGTGCATTCGTTTAGATTTTATTTCAGTGTTATGTAACCCACTTTGTATTCTTAAAGGACGTTCAAGATCGTTCAAGTTAAACTTAATTATTCAAATTGAAAAGGAAAAAGTATGCAACATAATATCTAATCACGTTGTTTAAACAAGAAGTAGAAACAAATGATCCTTACATTCTGCAGTATCAAAATACAAATGTTTAACTGTCAATTAAAAAATGGCAATTAAACTTGTTTAAATCAATTTAAATTTATATGATTATAAATAAGAATTTAATGAATACGAATAAAACTTAGATAAATAGAAATTGAAAGATAAACAGCGAATAAATACCCATATTCTGCTCTATATAAATATTTCACGGCTAATTTCATTTTCATCTATACGTCAGCAGTTTCTCGGTGTTGAGCTTAAATCACTTTGGCTATATATAAAACGCGTGGACACAGAATCTTGTATATGTTTTTACCTGGCCAGCAATCGTTTTTTTATTTAATCGAATTTACTTATTACCTTTAAGAAATATAAAAGCGCGAGGTACACCAAGCATCAAATATGACACTACCTTAGATATTTATAAGAACCTAAATGTGAATAGTACAAGGAACGTCAATGTAGTTGGATATTCGAATAACCAACTACCTACTAGCTGGTTTTGGTTATTCAAAATCCCCAGCTACCTACTAGTGGTAGTCGCAGCAGGGGCAACAGAAGTAGTAGTAGCAAGTAGTACCAGTAGTAGCGGTAGTAGCAGTAGTAGCACAAGCAGTTACAGCAGAAGCATCAGTAGGAGTAGCAGTAGGAAAAAGGGTATCAAAAGCAGGAGCACTAGAAGCAATAGCAAAAACAAAAGTAGTATCGACGGTCTTTCTGGCCGTAGCAGCAGTTGTGGTAGGAGGAGAAGTGTATCCGTTGTTGTACCAGTAGTTAAAGCAGTGGTTCTTGGAATAGTGCATCGAGCAGAAGCAGCAGAATCAGTATCAGTTTTATCAGTTTTATAAGTAGATAAAGCTGTAGCAGTATTAAAAGCTGCAGTAACAGCGAACGTCTGTTATTTTCAACTTAATAATCTTTTCATAGCTCTTTAGTGATATTTCGTTTTTTTCACAATTATTTTATAGCGGGCTTTATTTTTTACATGTAGACCTATAGATAATATCAAAATGAAATTTTTTTCTGGCCCTTATTTACATCTAGAATACAATTATCTAAAATTGTTCCATTCATAGCTTTTATTACAAAGCTTTTTTTAGTTTTAATGTATGAATTATGATCTTAATTTAGAAAAGAAACAAGAGGAGAAATACAATCTTATTGTGCAGTTTTTTGTACTCATATATAGCATGAAAGTTAATTTTCAAAAACACAAGACATGAATTTTTCTTATTTCTTTTAGACTTTTATTTATATCAAGTTGCGTAAAGTGTAATGATACTGCATCTTATTGTGTGTCATGCGCTATTTCTTATGTAACTGTAAATATAGCTCTTAAACTAAAGGCCAGAACTAAAATAATGCTTTGATTATTAATTTATCATTTTTATCAACAGTTATACCTTAATTTAAGATGTATTTCTATCTTTCGATGATTCTCATAGAGTACGAAGTTGTTATATTGGATCATATTAATTTCAGGAACACCAAGAAAGCCCACAGTAACAGTTAATAAAACACCATCAGTAGGAGAGAGTGTAACATTAACATGTAGTAGTACATCAACAACCACACCAAGTAACCACAGTCTCAGTCTGACATACTCTTGGAGAGTTGACAACACAGATAATCCAGGTGGAGCCAAGTATACATACACTCCTAGTAAGGATAAGCTTACTGTAAACAACATTGTAAAGGAGGATGCCAATAAACAGTTTACATGTACAGCTAAAGAAGATGTCACTGGTGGATATACATCTAGTAGAAGTGATACATCCTCATTTGTTGTTTATTGTAAGTTTTTCTTATGTCACTTATACTATACCACAAACTGAAGTGATATATTCTCATTTGATATTTATTGAAAAATTATCTTATGTCACTTTTACTATACAACAAACAAAAGTGATCGACTCACATTTAATGTTTGTATTGTACTTGCATATGTCAGAAGTGATACATTATCATTTGATGTTTATTGTAAGTATATCTTATGTCACTTATACTATACAACAAACAGAAGTGATACATTCTCATTTGATGTTAACTGTAAGTATATCTTATGTCACTTATACTATTCAACAAGCAAAAGTGGTACTTTCTCATTTGATGTTTACTATAAGTTAATCGTATGTCACTTATACTATACCACAAACTGAAGTGATACATTCTCAGTTGATGTTTGTTGTAAGTATGTTATGTCCCTTATTCTAAACAACAAACATAATGTTTCATTCACATTTAATGTCTAATGTAAGTACATCTTATGCCACTTATACTATACAACAAACAGAAATGATACATTCTCATTTGATGTTTATAGTAAGTATATCCTATGTCACAACGAACAGAAGTGATACATGCTCATTTCATGCCTAAAGTTAGTATATCGTATGTTACTTAATCAATACAACAAACTGAAGTGATTCATTCTCTTTTGATATCTATTGTAAGTATTTCCTATTTCACTTATACTATACAACAAGAAGAAGTGATACATTCTCGTTTGATGTTTTTTGTAGGATTATCTCATGTCACTTATACTATACATTGTAAATATACCCTCTGTCACTTATACCCGACAGCAAACAAAAGTGATACATTCTTATTTCATGCCTATTGTTAGTATATCGTATTTTTCTCAAACAATACAACATACAAAAGTGATTCATTCTCATTTGATATTTATTGTAAGTACATACTTTCACTTATACTATACAACAAACAGAAGTGATACATTCTCATTTGATGTATATTGTAAGTTTATCTTATATCACTTATACTATATCACTTATACTATACAACAAACAAAAGTGATACATTCTCATTTGTAAGTTTAACAGTTTGCGATGGAAGTTTCATTCATCAGTTGTTTTGCAATCATTGATACTAGACATTTTGATTTTATTATATTGTGACGATTGTTCTATTCTGCCTAGATTCTTTTATGATATTTAGTGGTTTTATACCTAATTGCCGAAAAGTTAAATTGTTAACAAATATGTAATCTTGTGTTTAAATGTATTGTTTAATCTTTGATAAATAATGAAAAAAAATACATAAAAACTAAATGAATAAATTTAACAACTTATTCGTAGCAATAATTTGATATAACGGGCATATTTTTATTATTTCTAAAATATCAGAACAATTCGTCCTTAAAATCATTCGAACTCAATGCCATTCGTACCAATATTCGACCCATTATCAATATCTCTTGGATGCTTGATTTCTTCAACTTCAGTAAACGATCATTAAATATAACTACATTATTGGGTATAAATAGAGCTCAAAGCTGCGGACGATCAGTCTCTGTCCAGCTGCCGAAGTGTCAACACCACAGAAATAATTAATTAATATTTTAGTTTAATTACTTGGGTTCTTGCACTATTTACGAAGTATTTCAATTGCATCAATTTAACATTGCGTTAGGTGTAATTGTTATTACTAAAGTATTGAAAACTCGATATCCAAGTGTTTTTTTCTATATATATTAAATAGCCTAAAAAGTGTCACCCCAATTTTATATTAAGTTCATGGACCACTTATTATCTTTCAAGCACATTACTGTGATAACAATAGTTAATTAAACTTGATTCCAAAGTTTGAACAAATCATTGTATAATCATTTGTAACTAATCAACTGGCAAAGTAGCCATAAGAAAAATTATATATAACAGCTAGCCCGTGCACGTTACAATATTAGACTGAGCTAGGATTGTCAATACATTTTCTTTTTTTTCCCTCTGTTTCTTATTTGTGCATGGATGCACACTGACAATATAATTAAAGAAACAACGAAATACTTGCAAATGTTTCTATAGAAGAAAAATGTATTTTTTATAGTCACTTGCGATACATGTATATAGTACAAACAAATATAAAACAATTACAGAACAAATAAATTGCCCGGCCCCATGGACCTATAAGTCACTGTTTATAGAAAAACGTCATTTATGTACACATAGACAATCGAGTTGATTTAACGTCTCAAGAATGAATATATATATATATATGAATGGTATTAATATGTTTAAAACATAACACCTGCCTAAACTTATCATTATAGTGTAAATAGTTCGATGATAAGCTTTCCTGAAAATCCTGTGAGTTCGAATAGGTAGTACATATAATTACACTTCAGTATTTCTATAAATGAGCTTTCACTAAGTATTTTGCAATCTTTCTAACGTGGTTTGAAAACAAGAAGATTAATTTGTCATCAACACTCAAATCCATAAATACATTATCATTTAATATTTCACCAAATGATTGCGATCTTATCTCATTATATTTTGGACAATTAAGCAAAAAATGTACTTCGTTTTCAACACAACTGTCATTGCATAACCTACAAAGTCTATCATTCAACGGTTCTCCAATATATCTTCGTGTTTCGACTCTAAGTAGAAGAAACCCGCATCTTAATTGTGCTATAATGGAGCGTTCATATTTCGACAAATTCAATAAAACATTACCCTCTGTGTTAAAATTGCATTTAAATAATTTGTAAGTTCTAAGCTTTGGAGTATTTTGCCATTTTCTATCCACTGTCTACTATAGAGAGTTTTCTGTTTCAGTTCAGCGGTTTGAAGATCAATTAAAAAGCATTCGAGAGATCAAGTGACGTCATTATTGATTTTATCTCACTACACCAGTTATTGCATAGCATATAGTCTTGATCAAACTAATTTAGTTATCCTAACGCTGTCAAAATTAACCCATCTATTCCAGATTCTTAGCATATTCAACCACCTACGGTAACGACTTGGTACCCACCCCATGTCACCGGAAAGTGCAGCTATTATTGCCATACGGTGTACTCCTAAATGATATCTCTTAGATCTATTGTGAACAATGTCAATTTGCTGGTATGTTTTGTATCATCAAGTGGATGAACAGTAATCCATGACTGGAACAACACAATTAAATACAAGTTTTTCATATGATTTGAACCCGAAATCCGTAATACCGTGGATTTTATTCATTAACCCTCAAAAAGCCCTGCTGTCTGCCTTGCCGATTGCCTCACAATGACTTTTAAACGATAACATTTCATCAAATATAACATCAAGATATTTTTTATTCAGTAACTACATCCAATGTATTGCTACCAACATGATAGTTGAATTGTGTACTTGGTAGACGCAGTTTTCTGAAGTGCAAACATTTTGACTTTTCTGTATTTATCAAAACGCGCCGTTATTACACCACTCATGAAGTGTATCGAACATTTTTTGCAAGTCAATTTCTGACTGCGATCAGAGCAATGTCATCTGCGTAAAGTAAAATAGAAATCGAGGCATTGTAAATAGTCACACCAAGTTCAAGGTCATTAATGTCTCGGACTAGATCATTTACAAACATTGCGAAAAGCGTCGGCGATAAATTACTTCCCTGGGCGACGCCTGACTAACAGTCGAACCATGATGTAACGTTGTTGTTTATTCGAATACATGACATTGTGTGTTTGTACATACCTTTCACTGGATTGTAAACGTTCCCGTCTATTCCATTTAGTAGAAGCTTGTAAAATAACATATCTCTGTCTACAAAGTCAAAAGCTTTCCGAAGATCTATAAAGGCGGTATGTAAGTTGTCTTGGTTACGAGCAACACTGTTTAAAGTAAATATATGATCCTCACACGATCTTCCTCGCCTAAATCCATTTTGCTCATAGGCCATTAAGTTTTCGTTTTCTAAATAGAATGTTATTCTTTTGTTTATCAAAGAGCTATATAATTTACCTACACATGAAATTAAAGATACACCTCTATAGTTCAACGGTAATCGTTTGTCAGAATTCTTTTCTTATAGAATCGGACCTATAATTGCCTTTCTCCAGTCGCTAGGAATTACACTCGTGTCGAAAATAAGTTGAAAAAGTTTATGCAATACTGCTATAAGCGGGGGGGATTTTAAAACTGCATAAGGTATATTATCGTTGCCGCAGGCCGACTTAGATTTGGCACTCATTACAACGTTAACGATTTCTTCGATGGCGATATTATTATTCAGCAGTTCTTTTGGGGGAAAGGAGGCGTAAAGAGGGACAGCAATGGACATTTCTAGTATATGTTTGTGTAACCTCGCTCTATTGTAGAATTCGGAGTCAAACTCGTCACTTTCGGTGCTATTATACAAGTTTTCGAAATCCCGTTTCAATTTGTCAAAAACTGCATTTTCATCTTTATCAATCAATGCGCCCATGTTAATTTACTAATTTCATTGGTATTGAAGAGTCACGCTTTGGACCGAGGTGCTTAAATTTATTCCAGAACTCATTTGGGTTTGAAGTTGAAGTTTGAACTCTATTTCTACTGAAAAGCTTCTTTTATAATCCCTCTCCGTTTTTCGTAAAAGTTTATTGAAGTTTTTTTGCGCTGCTAGATATTTTGATCGCTTAACCGTTTTTATTTGCCTCGTGTCGTTGCACTTCAGACAATCATTATCGGCAAGGCGCATTTGCTTCCATTTCTCTGTCAAAACTTTGTTCCAGTATGGATTAGCATATTTTGTTACGTTTACTTGTCCGGTGTGATGCATTATAACGTGGGATGCTGTGATTCATTTCATTGGTAATTGTTTCACACAACTTGTTAAACATTGAGTATATGTCATATTGACTTTCTCTTGATGATTCTATACTTTCTATAATTTCTAATTGAGCACGTTTTGCTATATCCCTATCCATGAAATTATCGGGAATGAGATTAAGTTTATACCTTAACTGTGACGGTGTATTTATATATTTTTGTAACACTTCTTTTGTTAAGTTACCAAGAGAAAGTTCTTGTGTACATGTTGTTTTTAAGCTATGCCCTTTTCTTAACAAATCACTTAATATAAAAAAATATTCAGTTTCATGACTGAAACAGGACAAGGGAACACACATTTTTATGGAATTCTGACAGATATACTATTTAACTTCTATATAAGTGCGCATTGTCGGACCGTACATGTCACGGACCGAATATGGAACACGTGTGATATATTCGGTTCGAATATGGCACACTCATTAGCCGAAAATGGAACATAGAATGTGAAATATTCGGTTGGATGCTAACCAAAATGTATTTTTCACTTAACAAAAATGTGCCTAAAATGAAAAAACGAACGTATACGTCACATATGGATTTGTTCTTCAATTAGTCTGTTTTGCACAAAACCGTTTATTAAAAATTAAAAACTAATGACGGAATCATAATTGCGACAACCGCCATCTTCATCACCTTCATCATCATCACTATAACCATCATCATCATCATCATCAGCAGCAGCAGCATTATCAATATCAATATCATGATCACAAATATTTCATCGAGTTTTTTAAAGTGTATAATAAACAAATATTTCAACAAATTAGCGCAAATCATATATCGTGAGTATCGTACTGCAATATCCCTGTAAACAAGTACATATATTCGTCTTGCACTAAAACAAGTTTGTTTTTTTATATATTTCTAGCTCCTCGAACAAAGTGATTCCAGGGCCCTTTAATGAATCTACAATATATAAGTTCAAACATATTTATTAATGTTCGATTGCGAAACACGTTCTTTCAACTTATAATAATCACTTAAAAAGTCCGCTTCCTGGAACAAACCAGTACTGGTATTAACTGAGGAAACACAGTCGTGACCCGAGTTTGACTCTTACCAACAATCCTTGAGGGAAACATCTTGCATTAGGTCACTACTACCCCTTATCATTGTATCATCCATACTTTACGATACTTTGTGATCCATCTGGAAAATCCCACATCTTGCTAGAGCTTGAATGGCACATATGCTGCAAAACATAAAAACTAAATGCATATGAAACAACTTCAACGCGTGCAATCGTCATTTTGAAAATGACCATGATGGTTTTAACATAACGTTTAAGGAGCAAATTATTCATTTGGAGTGAACAGAACGCCATTCATACTATATTCTCTCGTGCGCACCACTGTAAAACTATACATCTGGCTTGTAGCGTGAAGAAAATGATTTGTGAAAATATTCACAGTTTTGAATTTGCTAATATCTATGTCATTACGTAAAATAATCAATTATTTTTAGTAGTTCAACGTCATTTGTAAAGAACATATCAAAACCACGCTTTGTTCGCGTAGGATAAACTTACAAGTTTCATGACCATGTCTCTAGCTTAAATACTTTTTATGCTACACGCGACGCAAGTCGACTTTTAACTATTTGACTTAATCAAGAGCAATAACTCTGGCATAACTGCCAATTCTACGAATTTATCCATTCAGTAAGACCAAATTTTAAATTTTTTAATAAACATATGTCAAATCAGCTTCATGAAACAAGAAGAAGTGTCATAGTAAGACCCCCATCCCCCCTCCAAAAAAAAATATAAAAGAAATAAAAAATAACAAAAAAAGTACAATTTAAATATGTTAATTTAAACAAATTAAATTGTTATATTTTCAGCAACATTAATACCATTCGACAATAAGGTATCAATTCATGCTGGATTCATGATATTCGTTTTTACGCAAAGCATTGAAGCTATTCATAATCAATACACTTTTTATGAGAATAGTTTACTTCATTTTTTGCATAACCAGGGGGTAAGGTAATTCAAGATTGTGTACATAATTAATAAGGCAAGAACGCGAATATATATAACATTAATTACTGGTAAGTTTACAATAATGTGTAAATACATCGTAATAATTATATCTTCAGATGGTCCAGATAATGTTGCGTTTAGTCCAAGTGATACAAGCTATGAGAAAGATGAAAATGAAAGTCTTAATCAAGTAACTTGTACAGCATCCTGTCATCCTACATGTAGTTTTACGTGGACTAAAACAGAAACTGGAACACTTGTTAGTAGCTCAGCTTTATTAAATCTTGAAAGGCTTCAGAGTTCAGATGCTGGAACATACAGATGTACAGCAAGAAGGACTGGTGGTTCACCACAAAGCAGAGATTTAACTGTGAATGTAATTTGTAAGTATTGATATACGTAGCTAAAATGTTTATGTTATGTCGAATGTCTTTCGGTTATTGCCATGTCATGATTTTATTATGTTTAACAGATGAAAGAACTAAAAGAATGAAATAACGTGCATTCGAATAGCGCTAACCGTTCAGTAAAAACAATCATATCCAATAACATAACTGTTGAGAAGTTAATAAATAATTATCTCAATGTTCCGACTAGTGATATGTATAAGACTTGATTGGCAATAATGCTTCGTCTCTGTGAATACTGAAATGCTTAGGACTAATTCCTGGTTTTATAAATTGACTGGTTGCGAAAATTAATTTTATTTATTATCTAAAAATCATATATTTTGAGTACATTTGTTTCAACAGTATATGAGACAACTCTTTATATCTCCTAAGGAATAGTTTCATAATAGGTACTATTATACTCGAATATGTTATCATTTAAACACTAATTGTATAGAAAACAGGAACACAGAACAACACAAAGAGTACATATATTAATGATTTTGTTCTCATTCAACAATAGTATGTGTTATAAATGACACAACAATACTTGAAATTATACTTTTGCCATCTTTCATTTAAATGTGTATGTTTTAAAAAACGTATGTGAAAATTTATGCAAAGGACTTTTTTTTTTACAAACGCGGTTCTATGAAGCACTATAAACAATAGAAGGCAACTATAAACGAAATATGTAGTACATGTAGTATCGACTTTTCTTCTTTTGTTGAAAATTAACACATAATTTTGAAGAAATGCAGCGTTTCCATTCATTCACAAATAAAATTGGACACTAATGCGTTTTTGGCAGGATTCAAAAATTTAGCAGCGTGTTACAACGAGGATAATCTAACTTGTAAGCCCGAAACACCGAACTGGCCTCAGCCTTCGGCTATGTTCTGCTAAATGTTTACGGGCTTACTGATCGGTCATTATAATTATATAGGCCTTAGTGCTGTGAACTTTTTCTTAAATATATATTATAGAAAGGTAATACGGAGTTTTTTTATTGTAATGCAATCCGTTTATAAAATAATATAACTAATATTTACTCCTTCATATTTAATTAATTCTGCGTAACGTCAGTTATTACATAAATTAATAATGTATAGGTTTAACTTATTCTTTGAAATAATACAAATTACAATACTTAAAACTCTCAAAACTGTTAGTAATGAACAGAACAATGTTGATATGTTTCTTACAGATGGACCAAGAAATATTTTTTTCAATCCAAATGATGTGTCATATCGACATAATGAGAACTATAACTTAGCACCAATCACATGTGGAGCAGATTGCTGGGAATGTAGCTATAGTTGGTCTGGACCAAATTCATTTAGTGTTTCTGGAGCAGTCCTTAACCTGGGTCCATTAACAAAGTCAATGGCTGGAAAATATACATGTGCTGCTAGAAACGTTAAAATGTCTCAACAACCACTACAAACAAAACAGTTGTTAATTGAAGTTAGATGTAAGTTGATATTTTACATATGTTCTGGCTTTTTTTCTAAATATAACTATACTTTAGTCTTATTCATCGAATTTCCGTGCGACTTTCCCTGTTTAAAATAGTTTATACCCCCGAGTTCCAATTGAAAAATAGTATACACCCAGAGCCTGCTTTTCTGATTATTAATGTTTTTGTCGAAAGAAAAATATCGTTTAGTCTACTTATATTCAGTTAAATATTTATTGCATTAAATATTATTTGCATATTTTAGCAAATAATCCATAAAAATGAAATGGGCGGATTCGGTTCACATAAATAAGTGAAAACGTTATTTAGTCCCTAAGCAAGTTAGGATAATATATATATATATATATATATACATAAGTTTTGCACACATTTTCGGTTACTTTCACTTAATATCTTAGGCCAAATTAGTTACGTCTTAAGTATTGTATTCGTAGTTCTCTAAAATTTGGACAAATTGAGTTCATTGTATTTGAGCTTCACTTAAACATTAAAAAGTAATAATGTACAGGCTACGGTAAGCTTATTTTCGCAGTTTTATCTAATTACTTTTATCGTCTGTCATGTTTATAACAACAATTAAAAAAACATCAATATTTAACACGGGGTTTTGGATTTCCCTGTAAATGTGTACTTTTTTTCCCCCACACAATCGTCAAGAATTGAGTCGCTTTTACACTTTAAAATGGCGACTTTTGGAATTATCCAATAATATGGTATGTTGTGAGAACATTTTCAACCGAACGTGTAATGCCTGCATCGCAAAGAAAGTACTTTGAATAACTTAAGTGTCTTGTTGACAATCATATACAGATCGTGCCCGTATGCGCAAATAAGTGTACAAGGTTTGATATGAATTGTCTAGTCATGAGTTGCTGGATTGTTATAGTTTTTGCGTTCATGTTTTTTGTAATCAAAAGAGGACAAGTTGAATTATTACGGTGTGTTTGTATGTAGATAAGTGTGATAATCATCATTGAATTACAAGTAACTCAGGATCATCTCTCTTACAAACAGAACGTAAAAGTTAGGGTTATATCAAAACGAATTCATTAAATAAATTGACTGTAAATAGTTCTAATATTAAGTATTAGCGTAAACAAATCGTATAGTGATGATTCATTTTTCTTTTATTGATCAAAATCTTAAGATAAAAATATTATGCTTGTATTGTGGACACAAACTGATTATTCAACATGATTAATAAATAAAATATTTAGCTTACAACAATTAGACATCATCTCTGTGCTTTTATGCTTCATTGCAAAATCATTATTCTAAAGTGGAGATTAATATCATGCATTGGATAAAGATATTAACTGGTGAAATTGAAGATTGGGTTTGTGTTTTTAATAAACGGTAATGAAACGTGCCATTTCACTATTAGAGAAAAATATCTTATATTATCTTAAAAGAAACAAATTTTAGAACAAAAATTTGTTATAAAATAATAAGACTTATAACTTGTTGGATATACATTAAATTTCCATCCCTAATAAAATGAAAATCAATTATAAAAGCACATCAAATTAAACAAAAATAGAATCATTCTGTTTGTTAACTTCGTGCCTTAATCTCCATTTATATAATTAAAACAGACTAACAAAAAATAAGTTAGTACAACTTTCACGGAACTTAAATGAAGACTTATTTTATGACATTAGTGTCTGTTTGCACTATGTGTCAAAGTTATTCATTTTTAAGTTACTTTGAGTGTATATTGACACTGTTTTGGCTCACATTTGTTTTTCAAAGAGGTATTAAATAAAACAAACGTGCAAGAAGGAACATTGTTTTATTCATTAATTTAACAAATTACATTTTTTTTTGATATTGGTATTTTTCATTTTGTTGTTCCTATCTGCTGAACATGTGTAGTTACAGAAACGTCAAAGGAATTCTGCGATTATCTTCAATAAAGCTTATGTTTCTGTGTACTGCATGAATCTTGTAAACGAGATTTGTTCATGTTCAATTGGATTCTTTGCACACTTTTTGCTTCTCAGGACAAATTATCACAAATTCTGAACATTTTTTCCAATGAAAACAAACTAATGACAATAAAAATATGATGATTACTTCTTGTTTGCCCAAGAACAAATTCCGAGATTGATCTTTTATTTTTAAAAAAGCATTATCCCGCCTATTGTAATATAACAGGCACTTTATCACTGATAATGCTAGTATATCTGTTGTTTACAGTTGGTCCTGATTCTATAAAAGTAACAAATGGGAAATCAGTATATACAGTTGATGAGGGAACAAGACTTAACGATATAAAGTGCGAGGCTGACTGTTTTCCAGCATGTACATATAAATGGTCCAAAAATGGTCAGAGTACTAGCAATACAGATACTCTGTCTTTGGACCAAATACAAAAATCATCAGCTGGAAATTATACATGCAGGGCTACTAATGGAGACATGCAGTCTAAATATAAGGAAAAGAGGGTTACTATTTACGTAAGATGTAAGTATATATCTTTCTTTTATTTTACAAAAATTAGGTAGTTGTCTCACATATAGATGTAAAACTTTCTATATTAAACATTTTTGAACGGTAGGTACATGCTTGTAAAAGAAGTTTACAATAGGATAAAAAGACCATCATAGTGCCCATCTGGATCAGCAGATTTTCACATATACTGAACAAAAAAACCTTCCCTGTAATTAAGTGCAGATATACTACATTTAAAAATCATGGTTCAAGTAGATTTATATGTATATCCACTTTTTGTGAAGAAAAATGTTGCTGAGGGTTTATCCAAAAGTAGTAAAATGGTAGTTAAAATGCAGATTGGGTCGCCAAACAAAATCACATAATTATCGGGTATGACCAATTTAAGCATAAAGGACTGCCTGGCATCGATGGCGGGAAAATCCGCAAAAAGTGTATGTATCTTGATAACACGTTTATATCTGAATGTTACAATCCATGTGTGTTGATTGCATTCTTATTCTTATAAATAGAATTTTTTCCATCTTCTATGTATTTTAATTTACATACAGAAATGCAACATGTATGCCACTATTAGGAAACGTATTGAAGATTGTTCATGCAGAACTGGTACCATTGCTTTTGATTTAAGTCTTGTGAAAAATGACAAATTGTTGTGTAGAATACATGGTATCATTTTTTTTGATTATGTCTTTATGACAAATGCAAAGTGAAAACGGCTTGTATATTTTGTTAACATAATATATTCTGTGTGATGATTTAAATCCGACACTAAAATTTAAGAAAACGTTTTATGTCCTGTTCTGAAAATAGAAAACATATGCAAACATTGCATGTATACATATGTTTGTAAATAGCTAATGTTTTCTATTAATGATAATTAATTCATTGCGTTTAATTCCAAATCAAATAATACATATCATATTTACTTACTTTGTCCACTTGACTAATTGAAGAACGATAACTCCAGCCTTGTTTATGAATAAAAGCATATCTCAAACGAATACTCTTCTTAAACAAGAAAAAAGGTGATAGAAATCACGGACTCCGGGAACGTTTT